CGGGCCGTGGCGGGCCCCGGCTCCTGTGAGCGGCCGGGAACGACCTCCAAGCAGCGGCGGCAGCGCGTCTGCGGCCCCGGCGAACGACGGCAGCGGGCCGGTACCGAGGGCTGGTACCGAGGGCTGGATGTCACGGATCGGTACCGGGTGCTGGCTGTCACGGGCTGGTTCCGAGGGCCGGTACCGGGTGCTGGCTGTCACAGGCTGGCTGTCACGAGCTGGTTCCGAGGGCCGGTACCGGGTGCTGGCTGTCACAGGCTGGTTCTGAGGGCCGGTACCGGGTGCTGGCTCCGGGCAGCCCTCACTCTCCAGAGAAATGCGGAGCACTCGGCCGTCGTGGCGGCTCCGAAGCGGCGAAGCACGGCAGGACCGGTGCGGACGGGGAGGACAGCCAGGGAACAAGCGGGACCGCAGAGAAAAAAAGGCGAGGAAGGGGAGTAAGGCCAAGCTAACAGTCGAGACGAGCCCCCGCTCCCTCCAATAAACCCAAAGAAGATGGTCCCCGGTTGTGTCACAGTTCCGTGCTTTGATGTGCTGGAGCTGCTGCCGTGGCCCGAGTGCCCCGCCGCGGACACTTTCTCTCCCCCGATGGACTGCCGGGGACCGGGCTGCCAGCATGTGTGTAATTATTCGCCTCATGTATAACATATGTTGAGGCATAAATAAAAATCAGATTGGTCCGTCTCAGACGGACCACAGACAGGACCAGGACAAGTTTTGGATGGCACAAGGCATCAGTGACACAGATGTCTGGGTTGGGGCATGCTGAGAGAAGCAGCAGAATCCAGGGAGAAGAGGGAAAGCGGGTTGAAATCCCGATGGACAACTTTCTGCACAAGGTCCTTCTTGCACACTTAACCCCCAATCTGGGAAGGAAGTGCTCCATTTGTCATGGCAATCTTCAGAGGGTGCTGAAGAGTGAGTCAGCTGAAAACGCCCCTTCCAAGCCATTTGCAATTTGGCTACTACGACTACTTCTTTCTCTCCTGGCCTTTTCCATTTCTTTGTGCAGCACTTCAGAAGCAGAGCCAGTTCCAGTTCCAGCTGTGTTAAGGACGCTTAATGGCTGCTCTTTTTTTTCTTGTTGTTTCCATGCTGTTGCAAAGGACTGCTTGCTGGTGGCTTGTATTCTCAGACAACTGTTTATTTTCTTGTCATTTTCACTTCACTGGTTGACAGAAAATGGCCCTAATAAGCAATGACAATTGTTAATCTGGCAGCAAATCCCTCTCAGCTAGGGGCCAGACACAATATACCCCAAACTAACCCAGCGTGCCTCCCAGAGGCTGATCCCTGTCTCCACTGGCGAGAAATTCTCAAACACTTCATCACCCTTACTCTCCTTGAGGGCTTCTCTGTGTTCATACTGTGAATTTCTGCTCTTCTGGTCCTCACCCAGCAAGCTGGTGAGGTGCTGTTGGAGTGGAATGTTCATACAGATCACAGAAAACAATCAAAAAGTACATAGAAGAGAAAATGTGATTAATTTTGGGGGGTTTCACTGATTACATGTACATGTCACCTAGGTAGCTTATAGAACAAAATGTCTCTGGATGTTATTAAAAGTTGGAAACAAGCTGTACAGTTGAAAATCTCAGCAAAGAGTGGCCTCAGGCAGCTCTGCTTTTAAATCTTGATTTTATTTGTTGAACAGAACGTAAATAACATATCAGGAAGATTAAAAGGAGTGAAAGACAGAGAAAACTCAGTTATGGTATGCTTTATATTAAGTAATTTCTTCAGTCAACCAAAACATGTTTCTCAGAGCTGAAGGGAACTTAGACATTGTTTTGGGTGCTATTTTTGAAAAATATTCTTACTGTTAGACATACAGACATCTGATTTAGTGAAGGGATGGAAGAACATTGTGTTCATACAAAATAGTAACTTTTCAAGCAGTGTGGTTGGCATTCTGTGATTTTTCATTAAGATGTGTCCTTACTGAAGTGATGAAGTATCTAGATAAATCTCCAGACATGAAAGTCTAATTTTTGATTAAAAGCAATAAATTCATGAAAATATGCTGCTGATTTGCATTTGTGATCAAAGTGTAAGTCATGCATGAGTCTGTGAAATGTGAGTGAATGGCAACTCCAGTAACCTTCAGACTTAAAGAAAGTGGATTAAATATTCTCAGAAACAGCCAACAACAAAAAAAAAAAAAAAAAAAAAAAGTGAATTGCATGGATAAAAACACACTGGAGTTACTGGTGCATGTTGGGCCTCTAATGTGACAGCATTATTCAGTGATCTTTTAGTCCTGTCTAAAAATTTGAGTGATAATTAAGAGTGATAGTAGGACAGGTGAATAATGAAGCAGACTTACAAAAGTAAAATTTCTTCCAACAGAGTGAAAACTTCATAGTGCTACAAGTGGCTGATACCTGCCTGGGGGCCGGTTAGCTGGGAGTGATGGTGCTGCAAATGAACCTGCCATGGGACCAAACTGCTGGAACCCAAACTGGTCTGGACTGGAGTTTGCCTCGTGCTACTGCTTGGATAAGCACTGTCTGTTTTAAAAACAACAAAAAAGACAAAGACTGCTAAGTCTTCTCAGATGCACTAGTAATCCTGTCAGCAGGCAGTGATAACATATTTTAAGTGAAATGTCTGGAATCTGAGTCACTTTCACGTTGTGTATATATATATAATCTTTTTGTTTAGCTTTTTTTCTTTTTAGGGCTTTTCTAAGTAACCAATTTTTGTCTTTCTCCATAAATATATACGTTTAGTAAGACATTTATGCACTCCCTTAGCCCTGTAGGTGTGGGATACAGGAAAACTTGGCTGTTGGATCTAGGTGAAAGAATGAATACCTGTTGTGTTTAACTGGGCATCTGTATCACCAATATGACAAGGAAGGGATAAAAGTCAGTTGAATGTTTATGGCTGCTTTAGAGAAGAGAGGAAAAGAGGATGAAGACTGTGAGTCAAGTAAATTTATTTCATAGCTAATGAATATTCTTTTTTGCGTTACAGAGCCCTCTTTTGTGGTATGGGAGAAGTAGGTATTGACTGTCCTTGTAGATGTGAGAGTGAGGAGCAGCAGATTGCTATAGGAAGACTGAGAAATATGGAAGCTTTAGCTATTGGAAATCAATAATAAAATACACATTTTTTAAATAATAGAAATGTAGAAATCCATTCCTGGAACATTCTAATAGCATAATCTAATAGCAGCACTAGGCTCTTGAGCAGAAGCACTGTGGCTTCTCTCTTTTCAACTATGGAACTAATTAACTGTTGCTACTTCCAATTTTTAACCTCGGTCTATTGGTTCATTTCATTTTTATTCTGTCTTTAATCGTAGCACGTCCATCTCAGCTTTATGTGGCATCCAGGCTTAAAACGCTGTGAATGAGTGAAAGAGCAGACAGGAATGCCTCCAAGCTGAGCATACCCTGTGTGAAGGTTGTTTTCTATGGAATCGCTGTAGACACCCAACAGAGACAATTAGAATATATCTACTCCAAAATACCCTCTGGTAGAGCATTGGTGACTGGCTAATTAGAGGCACTTTTACAGCCCATGGAGATAATGAGACTCTGCTGCCACCTCAATAGAAGGGCACACAAAGGGCCAGAAAATTCCTTGTTGCTCAGCTTACAGAGGGCTGAAATCTGGCAAAGGACTTGCTTCCTTTTAGGGTTATATCCTTTAATTCCCATACTGATGGCTCATCTGGCTCATGGGCTCTACTCACTGTCCTTTAGAGCCTGCACTATTTTCTTTGCTGCATTTCTGCTGCACTACTGACTTAAAGAGGGATGTGTCTGCCAAACTCTGCTGCTGTCTCTTCTGCCACCTCTATGATTCTTGTTATTTCAGCAACGTTTGTGTGGGAGCTTTGGGGCTTTTCTTCTGCTTTATTGTTGTCCTGATATATTAAATTCAAAATAAAAATTAGGGATAATTACACAGGCTGTGATTATAAATAATTGATGTTTAGCAGCTAGTAATACAGATTAATGCTTGAGACATGAGGTTTGCAGCAAAGCTTGTTTATGTGCTGGTCAGATAGGATTTGGTCAGAGTAGAGATTGACTCAGTCTTTGCAGGAGCGTGTTTAAGCTGGCATGAACTCCTCAGGGCACTAATAAAAGGTGTGGCACATGTCTAAGGCTGCAGAGTTGGGGACATTTTTGTTCTTTAACTCGGCAGTGACTCCTGGGGCTCTGGTGCATCCCTGTGTGAGCTGACTCCTGTGGCACCAGAGCTGATTCCCACTCTGAGGGTGGCTGCCTCCATCCCACCTGGGGAATGCAGAGTTAGAGCCTGAAAGTATTAACCAAGTACATGTTAATAAAAAGAGGTGGTGGAGGCTGAAAGCTTGCTTTTCCCACCAGTTTCCTCGTGTATTACAAAATGTGTGTCTGGAGAGGCAGTACAGGGTCTCTTGCAATAAATCTAGATTGGCCCTTGGCCAAGAGTAGTTACTGAGCTCAAGGATCTGGGCTTCTCCTGAGGAAATAAAAAAGCCTCAAACTCTTGTGTTTCTAGTTGCACAGTTTACATTGAATTAAAATATGTTTCATCTGTTTAGCAGTCTGAATAATAAAAGCTGTATACAGCTGCACTAGCACTGTGCTATGCATTTTAATGACAAGTTTGTGACTACACTGGAATTGTAACTGCTATTCAGATGTTTCTTAATGCAGCCCAAATATTTTATTAGGGCTTCTTTTAAGTATGCATGCCAGAGAGGGAGGGGAAAAGGAGAGTAAATAGCATTTAAGATTTTAATAATCTTTTGTTAAAGAGAGTTAATGTAAGGGAAATATGGAAATTGTATGTTTTCAGACTGACAAGCATAATAATTTTGCCACAACATGATTAAAATGACTGTCTAAATATTTGGAGTATCTTCTAATAAAAATATATTCAGCCTGTTTTCCATGCTCAGATTAATTTGAAAGCAATAATGACATACAGTTCAAAAGAAGGTATTAAATCAGAAAGGACCACATTGTTCTC